ATTTTGGTATATGTTAAGGATTGAGGAACAAAAATAACTGATCTCTGATTTAATTGCTTGTTATAAGTAATCTCCAAATTTCTGACATGATTAATACAAAATTAAAACATTAGAAGGAAATTTCCAGTACTCCTGGAAATGCGTGTTATTTAGTACCTCTTCTAATCAGTAGTTGATTTGAATGGCATTAATTCCTTTTATGTTGCCATCGTACTGCATCGTGCTCTTAAATGCTTTGTGGTACTTAAACCAGGGTATTTGACATTAGAGGTGCTAGTGGTGATTAGTGTCTATAACCAATCTAAAGCCTTTTCTACATGGTGGAGTAATCAATTAAAATGATCAGAACTACCAGGGAACGTATTTCATTAATCACTGTTTATACTAAAATTTCTTTGTGGACCCATTAATGACAGGATGTTAAGGTCCAGTTCTCCTTAGTTACAAGTTTGTATGATAGCAGTTTTCAGTAGCTAATCAGCCTGAAATTTGTTCCTACAGTAATACGTTAAATTGTTTAATTAAGGACAGATGGCTTGTGCATTTTTCAGTACACTATCATAAAATTAAAATTGCTTATTGTTATCATAGGTTTTGTCAGCTGACTTTTTAAAGCTAAGTAAGTTCATAATCAGTGAAAACCTGTTGTCATTTTGCTTAAAAACCATTTAGCAATACCTGATAGTAGTATTTAACTTTACTGCACTAATCAGGTCACAACTGTTTATTCAAAGTCCATATCTTAGCCTTTTAATGTCTGCCTCCTAAGGGTTGTTACTTGTCCAGTTGCTGAGACAGTATTACTATAAAGTAATTTTAAGGGCAATAAAAACATGATAAAATAGGACCTCTGATTTCTTCTTATCTGATAAAATCTTATGTTACCATAAACACAGGCATCTTTTCTTCATTTGAACTCTCACTGAGTTCTGGAGTACTTCAAAGTATGGAGCAGCAGGAAGGTTGATGTAAGGTTGGAGTCTATCTTGTTGATTTATTTATTTTTTTTTAACAACCTAGGAAGTTAGAAGATGTACACAGTAAGCTGTTTCTTTTATCACCATTTTACAGTTCGACCATCTGATTAAATTAAAGCCAGCAGCATTTGTGACATTCATCCGAACCTCCACACCAGAGGCAGAACTAACCATTTTGTTCAGTTGATTTTGGTGCAGTTATGATTCCAGCATGGCAGTACGAGTTTTTGTCTTCCCGGAAGTTTTCTTTGTGGTTTCTGCTACTCTCTTTCATGGGGGATGTACTCCCATACAACTAGAAAAGAAGGGAGAGGTGATTGTTCAGGTTTTCTGATGTTTTCTGTTAATTCACTTAGTTCTTCTTTCACTGTATTTGTATAAAAATGTCGTATCTGATCCAATGGATTAGTGAATAAAGGGAATTCTAAAATGGAGTTTGAAAGATTGCATAGCAATTTGCTTTTAAAAATTAGATCCTTTTCTGTCTGTATGAAAAAAAAATCAGATGTAAATGAAAAAGTGAAAAAGATCCAGTAGAAGGAGGTGTGGACATGTTTTAGTGATGGAAATTACAATAGCAAGGAGCAGCAGGAGCAAGAACTCGTCCGTTCTTGCTACGGACGAGTGCATGAGGAGCTTGCTGAAGAAAACCGTTGGTAACCAGTGAAGGACTTCTTGAGTGGGAACACAGTCTGCTGACTCTGCCTTGGTGACATTTGTTTTATTGACTCTACTATGAATAAGGAATGAACTATCTCTGTAGCGTTCTGACATCTTGTAAAGGTTTGGGTTTTTTCTGTAGAACAGAACTGTAAAATTATTTGCTCCATGAACAAAACAGTGTTTGACTTGCTTTGACAGCTAACCGCTTTCCTATACCTACCCTTAGAATGCTCGGATTCAGCCTCTACCCACCTTATTGTGTGCTCACGCTAATGAAATGAAGACTCCGTGCCGTCTGTTTCTGTCCTCACAGTGTGGTAGACACACTTGTGTTTCATGGGCACTATGATGATTTATTGCTTCCTTCCACCTCCTGCTGTGCTGATGCCATATTTCAGCAATAGAGTAGTAAAGTAGTATTTGTTACTGAGTTTATTTACCAGAGGATTTTTTTTTTTTTAATATATTTTTGCTGTTCACATTCTTCCTTTCTTGGTGAAGGTCAGTTAATTGTAATAGCTGTGTACGTGTTCTTCTGGGGTCATAGCGTGTGGTCTGGTTTCAGAGAAGCGTTGGATTCTTCTGCTGGAAAAGTAACTCTTCTCATCAACAGCTGTTGCCAAAAAAAAATCCCTTTGGGCATTTATTTCTTGAGACTGGTTTATCTCTCTTATAAATTCAGCAAATGTTGATATTCTGGGCTTTTTATTTGTTTCAGATGATATATACCACATTGTTTTTAAAGTGTGTGTTTTACTTAGCTGCCAAATGCTTTTCATTGCCAGTGCAGTTTAGCAGATGGGTTTGAAGGGTTCAATTAAATATAATTTGGGCTTCCATTTTTCTCCCAGCATCTTTACATGGTTCCTTAAGTCAACATCACCATTTTTCAAGGCTTTGCAGTAATCCTGTAGTTTGCTCTTTTGTAATAATTTCATCATTTAGTCACATAGTGTTTGGAAAAAGGTATATTCTGATTTTGTATTTGTTATGTACATTGTTGATTGGTGATTTTGAAAAGCAAATGTGATTTTTAAAAATTTTATTAATATTGATATCTTAATCCATTTTTCCCAGCTTTTCGTAAATGTTGGATTCTTAGAGTGCTTGCAGTTCTTTCAAAATTTTCTTTCCCAATTAGGTAATTGTTAAGGGTTAATTATGGGATATAACAAAGTCTCTGTTGAGTACTCTCTTGAGGAACATGTTTTGGACATTAGTTCCTCACAAGTTCCCATTTCTGGCGTTTCTTCCCGAGTAACATATTTGAAAACTGTGCAGCCTTTCTGTAAGAGTTGGGCCTTAGCCATAATCTGGGCCGTCTCAATAGGCTCTAGGCGTGTCAAGTCCAAAATAGTGTGGTGGGTTGTGTGCTGTTTGTGGAGATGCAGTTTGTAAAGTTGGAGACTTTGGGCTTTATTTTCATGTGTTCACATGTAAGTTCACAATTTACCTTGTACAACATCCTCAGTGAGTGTTTACTGAATGTATCATTCCTTAAAACTAATTTCTTGCATGACTTTGGTTTTGTTGCCAGTCCTTAAACTGAATTAGCATTGCTGCCTTCTTCGTCTGCTTTAGGAACTCCATATAAAGAATAATTAAATAAAGAAATTCTTCAGAGAATCTTTCACAGAGAGTGTGATGAGGCACTGGAACAGGTTGCCCAGAGAAGTTGCGGATGCCCCATGCACTTGTGGGATGCCCACGCCCACAAGTGTCCAAGGCCAGGCTGGATGAGGCTTGGAGCAACCTGGTCTAGTGGAAGGTGTCCCTGCCCGTGGCAGGGGGGTTGGAACTAAATGGTTTTTAAGGTACTTTCCAACCTAAACCATTCTATAACCGTTCACTTATCTTGTCCCTCCTTCTCTCTTCTGAATTTCAGCTAGTAAAGTAACAGAATATATCTTTTCCATACTGTATTTGAAAATACTGTATAGTAGGTGTTAGACATGGGAAGAGGTGAGATGTCTTTCAGATCTGAAGACTAGACTAAGCATTGTAGCAGTCGCTGTCCTTAGTGACCCACTTCAATTTCTGTGCCGAAGCATTTTATCTTTTACACTGCAGTAGCGTAAACTAATATTTTTTCTTTCCCTTGTCCGTAAGTTGTGGTGCAGGCAGGTATTTTGCTGACAACGGTAATTTTATCTGGTTTTGAGAATGTCAGTGTAGCTGTTAACACAGACAGCTTTGTGATTTGTATTTTCGTATGGGATGGTTTTGATATCTGTGGACTTGTAGTAGCACTATTTCATGCCAGGCTTTGAAAACACCGAAGAATTACGGTAATGAATGTTGCCTGTATTCTAAGAACTAAGCAGATGCAGTATGTAACTTTTCTTTGATTTGGTATATGTTCTTAGTTGGATGTTACTTGACACTTGAGCTAGTAATCAAACATGCCTGTGTTAGTATATTTTTATTATGAAAAACTAGAGTCCCTGAGCTCAGTCGTTGCTGTATGTTACGTATGCCTTCTGCTGAGCCACTGACCTGTTTTTTCTTATGTTTATTCCACACCTTACGGTGCTGTGCCTCTAGCCTTAAAAAGTATTGTTGCCTTGGTGAAAAAGTGCAAAAGCATGTTACAGTGCTTCAGGGGCTGTAACAAATCCAGGAAAGAAAAAAGCCTGATTAACTGAATCAGAAAGGTGTGGGTGATCCTTTACAAGCAGGCTGATGGAATCTGTTCCCTCTTGACTAGGGAACTGAGGGGTTATTGGGTAGATCTTTTTGAGAAATTACTTTTTTTACAAATGTGACTATGGTCTCTAATAATAGTCATGTTTGTTTATGACTTCTTAAAATTTTGGGGGTGATATTTGTGTAGCCTTGAAAGGAGAGGTGAGAAGAAAGTGCTAGGTTATATAATGTGTTCCCATCCCAGAGGGAATTGTATAATGTCCGTAGGATTTTCAGTAGAACGTGATATTTCATTTCTACTTGCATTCCTGATTACAGTGTCTACAGTTTTACATTACAACTTACAGAGCTGTGTGGGTTTTGGTTATAACCTAAGGTAGTGTGGCCTGCCTTTATTACTCAGAATTAAGTCTTCAGGCCTGTTTACTGAAGGCATAGCTCAAGTTAGATAACATACAGAAGAAAAATGCTTTTCTGTGAGCAGAAGAATCTCAGTCAACAGAGTGCATTTAGAGTGGGTTTTGTTAAACACTGTAATTTGGAAAGATGTGGAAGTGCCACTGAAAGGCGCAGTCCACTGGTTTCCTTTTCCTCAGTATTCGCTCCCTTCTGCTGGCCAAGATGTTTGTCTGTTAAATGAGGCTGGGGACACATCTGGCTGGAAAATGACAAGAAAAATCAGGTTTTGAATGATCTGTTATGTTTTTTTTTCAGCGATGTGCATATTGTAAGCACCTTGGAGCCACTATCAAATGCTGTGAAGAGAAATGTACCCAGATGTACCATTACCCCTGTGCTGCTGGAGCAGGCACATTTCAGGATTTCAGTAACTTGTCCCTCCTTTGTCCAGACCATATTGATCAGGCTCCTGAAAGATGTAAGTATGCAGTATTCATATGACACAAATAGTACCAGGTTTTGCGAAAACGGCTCTGTGGTAGGATCAGCTCAGGAGTGCATTTGTTAAACCAGTTTTCCCAGTTGATAAGCAAGCCTATCAATTTGAACTAATTCAGGTTAGAGCAACCATATTGCAAACGCTTCAGCTAAATAATAGGACAGGAGCTTTATTTTGTACTTGTTCCAAAGAAGAGTTGGTCCTAAAGCTCTCAGTTTTATCTTGAGGAGAATAAAACTGTTTCTTTTGGGTAAGATTTATTAAGGTTTAAAATTAATGTGCTTTTGTTACAAGAAGATTAGTTGAGTATATCAGAAAATTGGGTGAAAGGAGTAGTTCCTAAGTGTATTAATTATATTAGAGTTTGATCAAGTTTTGTATGCGTAAGAAGTACTAAAGAATGTCTTGGCTTCGTTGGGTTCACTGAATTGTTCATAATTTTGAAGGAAATAATAATTGAAAAACACGATTTCTTTGTAGCAAAGGAAGAAGCGAATTGTGCAGTGTGCGACAGCCCTGGAGACCTCCTAGATCAACTTTTCTGTACTACCTGTGGCCAGCACTACCATGGGATGTGTCTGGACATTCAAGTTACACCTTTAAAAAGAGCAGGTTGGCAGTGTCCTGACTGCAAAGTGTGCCAGAACTGCAAGTAAGTGAGACTTAAAGGACGTGGAGGAGGACGGTGTGAGATTTATGTGCTGTGATTTTAAAACATCTGTGTTATTAACTCTTCTTTATTTCCAAAAAGTGTGTCTTATTTGTCTAGATTTAATATTAAGTAGCTGAACAAAACCTTCTGTTGGGAACTTTCTTCTAAAAGAGCTGAGCTGGAACTCCTGCACATTATACCCCCAGAGTTACCTTTATCTCGGCAGGTTCTGGAGAGCAGCAAAACTTTCTGACTTTTTCCTGCTTTTATACAGGAGGACTTTTCTCAAATTTACCAAATAAACAAATTGATGTAATATTGTGCCTTTACAGACTGGGAATCCGTGCTTTTAACTAGGCTGACATTTCAGTTCTGCGTGTGGCATGTACTGGGTAGGTCCCCTGCATTAGGCCCTCTTTTCTATTTCGTAATATCTTTCAGAGGCACTTAATGAGTCATTATGAAAACAAAAAACGTGGCTTAGTTGAACAAAGGAAAAAAAAAATGACATGAGTGACCGTGATTGAATTGTTAGAGCAGACAAATACTGAGACAACAAAACATAATAGTTGCCGTACTGGAATGGCTCATGTAGAAAACTGACCGCTTGTATGCTTGTTCTCATATAACCCAACCTGATGGGCACTGCAGGGTTCTTTTGCTTGTTCTGTTTTAAAGGGCTTACTAGAAAAGAAGCAAGAATTTTGTTCAGCTTTAGTCAGATCAGCTGGGACAGAATGAAGGAAAAAAGCCACTTCATTACTGCCTCACGCACCTGCTGAGATTTGATGTTTGTTGAAAAGAAGCAGAGCAGTTGGGTCGGTATTTGCATTCAGATTCACCCACTTTAAAGAAAATTTTTCCCTGATCACACGCATCTGAAAGCAAATGCCAGCAATGAAGCTATGTTGTAAAAAAAAAACCAGTATCCCTAAAAATGTCGTACTCGGTAGTTACAGTATTTGCTAACAAACCCTCTTTTTAGTAGAAAAGTAGAAGGAAATGTGATGTTTTCACACCTACTACTTCATGCAGTGTGGTGGTTGTATGCCAGTGTTGAAGAACAGAATTTTAAGCCTGTTTCCATGCAAAGAGAGAGCACTTCCTGGTTTTAAAAATATCAGGTCTCCCAGGTGATGAAATAGTATCTAGTATGTGTAATGCCATACATTGAGAAGTTTTATCCAGGCAAGTCTTGTTGCATACTTATTTATTGAATTAATTTATTCAAACGGAGGCAGAACACAATGCCTTTAGATATTACTAATCTATTTGACTTATTCTCTGCAAATTTATTTTATCACTGATATTTGTGGTGGACCTCTGTAATATATGATTATAGGAAAATTGAAATCTCTTCCTTTACTGTTTGTTTTGCTGTTACAGTCATATTGGTTGACATTGTCGGAGCTCTGGTAGTCAGAGATGATAGCTCATTTTCTTCTTTGGAAAAACACAGTCAGAGTGTTTGTAGGAACAAGTACAATTGCATGTTCTTTTCAGAAAGAAATGAAGTGCATATTTCAGATTTTGAACGGATTTCGGTACAGAAAGGCCATTAAATCTGCCTACACATGTGTAAATGGAAGTGGGCCAACTTCTAAAATTCGAACTGGTTGCACAGGCTCAGCTCTGTTAAAGTTAGCATAGTGGTCTGAGTTCATACTTGAAAAGAAGTTATTTCCATTATCTTTGGAGCTATTTGTAAGCAGTATTCATATATTTCCATGTGATCAGTTATTTGTCTTCCTGTTTAGACCTTCCACTAAACAAATTTTTTTTTTTTTTTTTTGGTTTTGCCTTGGTGAAATAGTTTTTTTAACCACTTTTTTCTTCTTTTAGACATTCTGGGGAAGACAACAAGATGCTGGTGTGCGATACATGCGACAAAGGCTACCATACTTTCTGTCTACAGCCAGTTATGGACGCTGTACCAACAAATGGTTGGAAATGTAAAGTAAGTTGAAAGGTTTCAGAATAATTTCTTGTCCTTATAAGGGCCCAAATTACCCACATTATGCTGTTCTGGATGTGCTGGCGGACTGCAGTTTCTGTGTAATGTAACTTGTAGTTTCTGAAGCAATCCTGTTTGTATGTAATTGTGTGGCTCTCCACAGCTGCACTCTGAGGGTAGCTGTTTGTGGGGCTGAAGTGGCCTGTGTAGGACAGTAAATCAACCCCTCCAGGGGAAAATAGAAGCATAGGATCTGGGTAGAGTGGGTAACCTTCATTTAATGACAGCTGTTCTCATGATCTAGTGTAAACTAAAACCTAGGCAGTAGTATATGTAATCTGTACTTGAAGGCTCTTAATATTCAACAACCTGGTCTAGTGGAGGGTGTCCCTGCCCATGGCAGGGGGGTTGGAACTAGGTGGTCTTTAAGGTCCCTTCCAACCTAAGCCATTCTGTGATTCTATGATTCTGGCTTAGCAGAACAGTAGTTCTGCAGCTCAAGAGTTCCTTTGCATTTCAGGAGGGCAGGATGAATTTGTTATTTTATCAGTAACGTTGTACGTAAATGTAAGCGATAATGAAAGTATGGTTTCAGCATAACAAGGGACGTCCCTGTACATGAGATGTATGTAATTTTATAGTCAGTTTGTGGCAGTCATAAAATGACTGAGATTAGGAATTAAAAGGTTTGGTCTCATAAGAAATAATTGTGTCAAGTCAGGGAGTGGACTTCAACTCCTCTTGCTGTTGCAGAGGCTCCTCATGCTCTACTATCAGATCCTGGATAATATATTAGTGTTACCAAGGACAGAAACTTTAATTTAATTCAAAACAGGAAAATGTCAGTTAATGGCAGTTCTATCACCTTGTGAAATATCATAATTAACAACTAAATTCTTGTGATCTCTAGAACTGTAGAGTATGTGCTGAGTGTGGCACACGAACAAGTTGTCAGTGGCACCATAATTGTTTGGTATGTGACAGTTGTTACCAACAGCAAGACAACTTATCTTGTCCGTTCTGTGAAAAACTGTGCCTCCAAGACTTCCAGAAAGATATGTTGCATTGTCATATGTGCAAAAGGTAAGAATCCTAATTTTTGTTAAATTGTACTAAAATGCCTAAAGTGAGCTAAATGGCACTGATACATTTCTGTGATGGGTGTAGACTGTCTTTGATTTACAAGGCTATAGTACCTGTTGGGCAACGTCTTGGTCCTTCATCCCTAAATACAATGAACAATATTGAAGAGTCTTATTTTAATCTTGGCAAATAAGTATTAATTGGCAGCTGCCTGAGGTGTACAGAGATATGTGCTGCTGCTCTTGCTTCTTACGTTGCATCTGTTTTGCGAATAAGCACACTAGAAGAGTCCTTGTCCCAACTTCTAAAGACTCTTCTTTGCAATTGTCCTTTAATTTTCAAGTATGTCTTCCTTGTTCAATTTACTGTGGTTTGCTATTGCAATTTAAAAAAAAAAAAAAAAAGCACTGTTGGGAAACTTTTAAGAATGTAGACTGTGCTTCGTATTCCATGCTGTTGTATCTTGCTGTGCAACATCACGATATTGCTATACATACTTTAGTGACAGCTTAGGTCTTCGTATTTACATTTGTTCACTGCTTGACATGCTGATGCATCATGCTTATTTCTCTAATATTCTCCATAATAAAGCATTGGTTGAAGTTTTTATCTCCCCATAGTAATAGAAAACAGTGATATTTTTCAACTGATTTTTACTAGGATACTTTGTATTTTTATTATTAAAATCATCATCACATTAAATTAATCTCCTCAGATGGATTCACGTAGAATGTGAGAGATCTCCAGGTAGTGAATTGGAGTCTCAGTTGAAAGACTACATCTGCACTCTTTGTAAACAAGGAGAAGGGGATCAGACTCAGTCATGTGATATAATGGACACTTCTGAACTCATTCCTGAACCTGATGGTGTAACAGGTAATCAAACAGAATCTTTCTGTTTCCAAAATGTAAACATCAAATATAAATACCTGCAGCTGGCTCACAAATCTTTTTTGAGCCAGACACTCATACCCTGTGGAGTTCATCCTTTCCTTTATTTAGCAGCACCTTCTCAAGCAAAACATGGGGTGAGCCTTCTTCTGAATATGCTTTCTGGCTTTCTGGCTTTGGGATCTTGTATTAAAAACATGAGCAAGTAAGCACCTTAATGGTGGCTCTCAGCCTTCCAGCTCCAGCTTCCCAGCCGCTAGCTGTATAATTCTCTAATTTTTTTGGATATGGTACAGTTCATAAATGTACTGTTCATTTGAGAACTTAACTATTGTATTCATTTGTGCCTAACTAGCAGGCACAAGCCAGCTTCTGGCTAGGTGTTCCTAGAGACATCCAACTTTCCTCTTTTCCTCTTGCTACCTGTCAGTCTCATGGTGCCCGTTCTCCTCACAGTGTCTGGGTAGGACACCACAGTGGAAGCTGGACTGTGTCAAGGGACAGGTACATTTAACTAAATAACTTTTAATCAGGTGTCCTTTTGCAGAAAAATACATGATTAGTTATCTTGTTTCTGAGAGATTCTTGTCCAAATGGACAACTCAAGCAAAAGGTGGAAAAGGAAGTTGCTGGAAAGTGTAAAGTATTTTTTTAAAAGCTACTCGCTGGCAGTAAGGAAGCACAGAGAGAACATGGATCTGTTGAACTGCATCTGGTAGCTTGTCCACAAGACCTGTGTAATGAACTTAGCACAGAATGCCTTTGTGTATTTGACACTACTTTGTTGGCTAGCACTGACTCTCACCGAAGAGAAGTAGTACAGGTCTGGTTAAATTTGGAAGCAAGGTAAAATTAACTGCACTGCCACTGGCATGTGCATTTTTGATGCTTAAACAGCAGTGTTTGTGCACTGAAGTTTTGTTAAAAGAAATTGATAGCTCAGTTGCATAAGCATCTGCGTTTTCAAAAGCCTGTTAATTTTTGACTAGAAAGGGGAAGTGTTGGACTACAGCAAAACTCTTAATTTTTGTGTGTTCAAACTGATGTTTTGTGTAAACAAGTCGTTCTCTTTGATGTTATCCTGTACACTTAAGTGCGCATGCCTTTCGTGAGCAGTAAGGAAATGGTGAAAGAGATGATCCTGGAGGAAGGGCAGTGACAGTAGGTAAATGTATGTAAATGAGCAGAAGAACTCTGTCAGTGAACACGAGCACCGAGGTAGAAAAAGTGCCAACTTCAACCTTTGAAGATCACTTCCATTCTGAAAGGTTAGTAGAGGCTGTTGGACTCTCAGGCAGTGTATTCAGAACATTTAGGAAGGTGTCCCAGTAATATCCAGAATTTACACTAGAAAAGCTCCCAGTCTTCTACTGAAAACCCTTTTGAATAAGTAACAGGTTTATTTGCAAGGCTAAAGTTTTAAATAGTACTCTCTTAGGATTTCTAGCTCTAGTAGGAGCATCGACTAGCATGTTCTTCTCCCCAAGGAAGAACAGGACTGTCATCTCAACTACTAGGAGTAATCTGGAGCTATTACATCAGTACAGTCACGCAGTGTTTTATACCCAGGAGAGCACTTTTGTACATTAAAATCAGATTTGGAGCCAATTGAAATGATCATTTCCTCAAAGTTAAAATAGCACTTCAGAGTTGGCAGAGTCTGAGAGCAGTTTTTTGGTGCTAAAAGTAGCATCCCCTAATAGTTCCTGGCTTTTTGAACTTTAAAGAGACTTTCCTGAAGAGAATGCTATATTCGACTTTTTTTGTGCTAGTATCCGTGGAGGATCAGTTCCTCCATGGAGTTAATGCACACTATATACTTCGGTTTTCCTGCTCCTATTTTGTCTCGTGCATTTTAATGAATTTCCTTGAATGAAAAAGCTTTTACACAAGGAAAAAAAAAGTATTCCCTGGTTTTGTGCTCTATATCCATACTGTCAGCCGAAGATGTGCTCAGTAGTGCCTTTTCCATGCAAATTCCTTTATTTAATATGAGGAACTCATGGTTTAAAGTATCCTAGTTCCAAAGTGGCAAAATGTATTTTTCATGTTGTTGAACAGGTAGATTGAAAATCAGTGTTCCAAATGCTCATGGTAGGTGGAGCCTCATATCTCTGCCATAAGCCATTATAGTATTTGTATAAAAATTTGAGGCCTTCATGCTACAAAGTCTATTGAATTTAGCAGATTGGAATTTGAGAAAAAGACTTTTTTGTGTTGCTCGGGTAATGCTGAAGTCTGACTGTGTGTAAATTGAATTTTCACAATTACGTGTATGTAATTCCTTTACAGACATTTTTCACTGTCTGAAAGGTATAAAACAGATTCAGTGTTAATGAGGAAAAGCATCTTAATCTTTAAGGATTGCTGTATAGTCTACATAACCTCCTCAAAGACCTGATTTGTCCTACTTTTGTTCATACCATTAAATACCATCCTCTTTAGCCAAAAGGTCAAACAATGACAGCAGCTACTGATGCCAAAGTAATTGAACAAACACAGTATCAATTTTGATAACTTCTTTGCCTCTCCTTAAGCTTGTACAAATGAGATGGAAATGGAAAGTGTTGGAGAGGATGCGACATTTCAGGAGCAACCCGTTACTGGTGATGGCCCTGGTCAAGAATCAGCTGCTGGCTGTGTCACAGATGGTAAGAAAGAGTTTTGCATGTTGAGAAAATGCCAGTACAGAACCCTCAGAACCCTTTTCCATTCAGTAAGGTTTGTGGTACTTCATAAATTTAAGAGGAGAAAGTGCCTAGAAAGCAGGAGACAAAGTGCATCAGTTCTACTGTTTGAACAAACAAGAGTATTAATGTTTTTGCTGAAGAAGTACTTTATTGAAGGCTGAGAGAGTCTTCAGAATGTTTGTGTAGGAGAAAGTTGGTTTACTTGTTTGTTGGGACTGGCTTTCTCCAAAAGCTGGAAATATAGTTAAATACTTTTGTACACTGAAGGTTTATAGCAAAGCCCACTATTTGGTGCTATTCAAATATAATCACTCACACTTCCTCTTCAAGGCTTTTTTGGTTGTAGCTGCCAGTAACTGGATGGGATTAATTTACCCTGGTGTGTTTTGGGGTACACTGTAGAACTTCTTTCCAGTTTATGTGCTTTTTGGGTGTAACTGCACTCGTATCTTTGGCTAGGATTTCTTCTTTTCTTTGTTCTCCTTGTAAATAAAAGATAATCTGTTTAATAATCAGATGTACTCATCCAGACAGGCTGGGCTGCAGTAGCAGATCATTTGTGTTCTGGGAATAAATGTATCTTATCAATCAGACATGAAGTACCAGCCAAAGAAAAGAATGCAAATTGAATGTTTTCTGGGTCACGTCTTTTAAATGTGTTGGTGACCGATACTGGTGGCAAAGAACATTCGAGTATGTCCAGTCCACTACCAGCCAGTGCTGGAGGATGGTTGCTATAAGGGGAAACAAGAAACCTGCATTTAAAGCCATAGCAACATGGCAGGTTAGCTGTGATCACTCTGTAATGCGTCACAGTCTGTGGTATAAGGGCCATGATTTAAAACTATCAGTGAAGACAAATTCATAATGAAATGCCAGGCTTTGACCTGTAGTGGCTGAGGAGGTTGTAGCAGCGTGAATTTAAGGAGAGTGCAAGCGTAATAAAAAGTAAGTGGCCTGTAAGAGAGTTAGGGTCCATCAGAAGATATGAGGAGCCAAATACAAAGAATGTGGTTCTCTGTGGAATGGATATAAGACTCTAGAAGTCCCTGATGATGAAAGGGGCTTGATTTGGTTCAGGGGAAGGCTAGACAAATATTTTTTAAAGAAATCCATGAGACATCATGAAATTAAAACACAGCATCAGCTGTTTATATTTCAGGTGATTTCCTAAAGTCTGAAAAAGTGCTAGGGAGGGAAAGGCTTTTTATTTGTACTTGTCCTGTTCTTCTTAGCTGCCTGCTTTTTGGAAGTGTTGGACAGTTCCTTAAAATACTTTAATTTATGCTAGAATACGTCTTCAGTATGCAGCAGTGAAAAGGAAGAAGCTACCTGTAGCTGCCTACCTGGAAGTGTGTGTTCAGGTTCTTCGGAAATTAATCTTGGGTCTGCTTTCCTGTGATTTACTCTGCTGTGTTTCCAGAGAAGAAAAATAATGAACTAAAACCACAGACTACTGTAAACATAGGTACAAAGAAAGAGATTTATGAGGTATATTTTAAGCTACGTATTAAGTTCGCTGAAGTAAAGTGATAGGTACTTGGCGTACTTGATGTGTACCAAGTTTACTTGTTGACTGCTACACACGTGTAAGTTTTTCTTTTTCACACTAAGCCTTTATTCTGGTTGTGCTTAGTTACAGGCATATCACCAGAAGAACAGACCACAGAACTGGAAACAGAAGTCTCTGTTGAAATTAATTCAGCAGAAATGGAAATGTCTCCTAAAAAGACACCAGCATCTGGTGAGAGTCAGACTGAGAAAATGATGGAAGCGATGGAAGGTGTTCAAGCTGCAGTACAGCAGGAGTTGGACAAACAAGTGGAAGAGACAGAGCCACCACAAGGTAGTGTGGAGGTATCAGAAGCATCCACAGTAGACTCTCGGTCTCTGTCTTCAGTACCTGAGACCGTAACTGTGACGCCAGAAATACAGGAGACTGAAGGTAAAGGAGATACTTGTTTCACCGTAGAACAACAACTGGAAATCATAAAAGTGCAAAAAGAGGTAGAAAAAGGAGAAACCCATGAAAAGTCAGAAACACCAGCTCTTCTGGAAGTAGAAACTACTTCTGCAAATGAAGGTGTTGCAAGTAGTTCACCAGTTGGAGACAAACCCATAAAATCACCAGCTGAGACTTACCCCTCCCTTCCCCCATCAGTTAACATAAACAAGACAAATGTGTCTTCCTCGCCAGATGTTCCGTTAGACTTGCATTCTGTACGGGCTGTGCAGCACAGCCAGCCCCCGACATTGCCTTCCACTGCTGGAAGTGCTCTCCCAACGACGTACATATCAGTCACTCCAAAAATTGGCATGGGAAAACCAGCCATCACCAAACGCAAGTTTTCGCCTGGAAGACCCAGATCAAGACAGGTAAGCATGTAGAACATTTCATTTTACATTTATGAAGCACACAGTTCAAATTTCAGTATAATGCATTAGTTTGTTTCTTCCATAAAGTAATTTCATGTTAAATACTTGAGCAGTCAGACATCGGAAAGGTTCTTTAGTGAGAATTAAAGTTTCTTTCACCTTAGAGCAAACTTTAATTATGTTATCTTTTTAATACAAATGCAGATACACCTGCTGTTGTGCCTTTTAACCTATCTCTTAATCTTTTTCATATATGCGTTTATTGTGGCTAGTACTGTCAAAGTATGTTAACATTTCTCAAACTGGCCCTACAGAAAAACCTGCCACAACTCCTGTTTCCCTCACGCTGCCAGATACAATCTTGATGGACATTTTTAATGATGCTGCAAATAATTTGGTGGCTTTCTTACAGTAGCAAATACCTTGTAAGAACTGTCCAGTACCAGTGTTTGTGGTTTGGCTAGGGTTAAATTTGATAAGTGAAAAGAATCCTTAAGTCTGTTGCCTTCTGCAAAATCTTACTCGCTATTCGAATTGCATAGTTGTGGGATTAATAGTTCATCAATCTGTAGGATTTATTTTGTGGTCACCAGATTCTGTACAAAAAGTATGTCAGTGTGACAAATTAGTGTTCTATTTCTGTTCTTGTCACAATTTATTTTTAGTCCTTGAGACTTCTAGGTTAATGATGTCATGCTTTTCTGAACTTAGTGTTTAAAAAGCTTATTATATATTGCACAGTTCTTTCCATTTTTGTGTGTTATCTAAGGGTTCAAAATTTTTGATTCTTAAGAAAAGGTATGAGATACTGTTCAGAAAGGGTTAAAAGATATAATAAAGGCAGCAAACATAAGAAATTAAATTTGGAAGGTATTAGAGTATCTATGGGGTTTTTTTTACCCTCATATACAACCATGTATAAAAGTAATTTTTCTTAATACTCTGTCTTAGAAATTAGATTTCTTTTCTCAGCTGATGCAAATTGAAGAGGGGAGGGGTTCTTAGCCAGTCTAAAATGAATTCAGGTTTTATGTTGGGTAAGTTTATTTGCTTTTTATGTTCCACTAGGAGTTGTATTTATTTTTCTGTGCAATTTACCCCTGCTCTGCATGGGAACCAGCATCATGAGACTGGTAATAAACTTAGTTAACCACCAGAGAACCCACTGAGGAAAACATGAAGGCTGACCCCAACCGCAAATGCCTGTAGCAGAAGAGATACACATCTTTAAAAAAAACTTGAAAACTAAAACCAGCTGTAGAAGTAGCAATTTGTATAATCTGTATACAACAGAGTACAGCCATTAACCTTTTAATATGTGTTGTGAGTAATGGAAATAAAACCGAGCTGAATTACAGTTTATAAGTCAGGTGTAACACAAAATGCTAGCTGTGATGCTAAATCAATACAGTCTCTTCAAAAGTTTTCAAATGATATTTTAAAATAAAAAGGTCCTTAGCAGCTTAGCAATACCACCTGTAGAATTGGACAAGTTATTTGTAAACTTCATGATCTGTCTTGTATGTTGGAAGTCTGTGGAGGTTTCTTTTGATTTTGGTTATCTTGCCTTGCACTTTAAACACCTATTAAGCTGGACTTTTGTGAAGCAAATGGCAATTTTCTGGTAAGAAAAGCATATCCGTATGTTGTTGAAGTGGCAGTGTGCTTTCTAGGTTTTTGTGGTTATTCAGTTCTAGCACAGATGAGCACCTCATAGAAGTTGTCTTGAGTAAGGACTGAGAAAAAACCAAACACCCCACGAATACTTGATTAGTGAATCATACACACTTTTTCTGATCAGTAATCTAAATTCAGCCTAACTAGTTGGTAGAGATTTCGGCTTTATCACCTTTTTCAGACTCTTCGTCTGTCAGTTTTTGCTTTTGTTCATCTAATTTTCCATGCTGGAGATGAAGATACGAGTCTCTGGAGATAATGTGTCTTTCGGCGGGGGCAGGGGGGGAAGTAAAAAAGCTTGTATATAATAGATGTTTTCTAAACCCAGCTTTATTATTAGGACCTGCAGTTGGAATTTTCTAGGTCACTGTGCAGTAGGGCATATATCATATTTGCAAAAGTATCTATTCTTTAAACAGTGACAGAATTATCTCCAGTGCTGTACATTTGCTGTGTTAACTTCCTACTTTGGGCCTTTGCTGAGGGACTGAAACCTGGCAAATGATGGTCTGTAGAGTATGTATTAGAGATTTACAGATGTCCAGTTGCAAGTAGGTGCTTTCCTTTTCAGCATGATGTAACTGGACAAATCACGATAAATAAGGCATGTGTTTAAATGCTTTAGCCTTTGAATTGCGCACACAAATGCATTTAGGTTTGGTTTGGGGGGTCTTTTTTAACTATTATTTTTGCTATAAATGCTCAGTTTTTTAAAATAACTGTGTGCTTTTCCAAATCAGGAGTTGTGGATAAAAGCAGAAACCTCTAAATATATTTGATTGTCAACTCCTTGTGTTTTTATCTAATTCTGTTCAATTTATGTCATCTTAAAAAGTGCACTTTACATATAGTGGGTTTTTTGTTAATATTTGTTGTAGTTCTCAGGAGAAAAAAATGCTATGTTATTCTGATGTTTGTGCCAGCAGCCCTATCCACAACTTTCTTTATAAGCAACTCATTATGTATGATTTTAGAAACTGATTCACAAATTGGCAGAAGACAGAAGCAGCCTCACGGCTGTAGCTGTGCTTCTTTCTGATGCTCTCTCGCCTGCCGCCGGTGCTCTCTGGCTGCTTACCGGTGCCAGGTCTGGTTTGCTTTCCTGTTACAAGGCAGCTCTGGGGCACAGGTTTGAAGGCAGTTAAGCAGGTTTATCACCAGATATAAAAAACAAAGCATTAAGACCTGTTGATTCTTTGTGTCATATTCTATAGCTACTTCAAAATTGGTATTTTCTCCCAATTCTGGCTTAGGGAGAGCAGCATATTGGGCAGGTGCTGGCAGCTGAGGAAAGTGCTGCTTTCTGCTGTTCCATCTTATTTTCCATGCAAAGTGTGGCCTCACCACAGAAGAAGTACATACATTTCACTGAAAACATTTTAGCCTAATGCAGTGTTCCAGTGCTTGTCTGTCCAAAGATGATCACGTTGATCCGAAACAAGTAAGAAGTGGGGAAAACAGTTCTGGAGGAAAAGATGCTTCTATGAAGTTGTAGGTATAGCAGATGAGAATAAAGCAGGTCATGTGTGGTGGTTCTCTGGTGTCACTAAAGAGGAATTTTGCCTTCTCAAAAGCAGGTTAGTTGTATGGCTCTCAGGGCTGCTTCTTTCTGTTTAAAATAAGACGACATAATGAATGCTGTTGTGTGGCTTTGTGTCAGGACCGAGGTGACGCGATGCAAATGTTACCTTGCAGCTGGCCGAGTTCTTAGCAACATGGCTTGGAGGGCAGTGAAGTAAGAGAGAAAGGTTACAAAAATAGGATTGCCTTATTTTTACTGATTAAAGAGGTTGTGGCTCCCATACTTGGCGAAGCTACCATTGACTCCACAGCTGCTTTCTCCTGTTGCACAGAGGGACTTCAGTGGTTGGACTTAATGATCTTAGAGGTCTTTTCCAACCTGAAGATTCTGTGATTGTAGACTAGCTCCTTGTCCAGGAGCGCACAGGTTAAAAATAGAACTCCATGGAATCTGATTACTCCATAGATCCTGAAGACAAGCCAATATTAGCCAGTTTCCTCAGATGGCAATATTCCCCACTTTCTCCTTGAGGATTTAATCTTTCAATATGTAGTTTACCTTGTTGGAGTGTCCTGTGCTCTTTATCGATTTTTTAATTATTTTTTTAAAAAATACATTGCACTGGGTTTATGGAACTTCATAGGAAGAAGAATAGGAAAAAACGTTTCTCTGGATCCTGAATATGTTGCTCCTCAGATTCATAAGACACATGCTTCACTGATGTCAGGGGAATCCATGTAAAGGGATAGTCTCTGATTTGCATTTGTTTTCATTAAATTGAATGTATTGTGGGTAGTAGGATGAATGTTTATCCCTTTCTTCAAAATGTATTAATACAGTTGCTAATAAAATATATTTGAATAATTATTCAATTTGACTATTGAATACAGTTATGCATAATCTGAAGTGAATTCCTGTATTGGATCTTAGTATTTTGCATTTGTAATAGGCTTCATTGATGTGCCGCAACACCACCACATCACTCATATTTTGAAAGGATTAAAACCCCTCTCACAAAATGCGAAGACAATAGTCTGCTCTAAAAGACTTTGTGAGCCCCTTCTTGGATTGCGCTGTCGTCACCACCCCTCTTCCCCCCAGCATTTTTGCAGGCAGCACTGCTTTGGTTAGGAGCAACAGGAGAAACACCTTCTTCTAAACAAGAGGGGGAGCTATGTATAAATCAGTATGTAGGTACAGTTATACTGATGATAATTGCTTTGGCTGGTATAAGCTTATTCCACTTTGGAGAATGTGGTTTCTTCTGTGTCAGCGTAAGAAGTCCTATCAGGAAGGTGCATTTCTGCTAACAGTGTTGTTAGGATAGCATATTATCCATACCTTCGGGTATGGCTAGGTTTTGAATCTGCATCCCACTGTGCTGGTTTTTAATTGGACAGTTGAAAACCAGCCCAGTGAAGGGACTCTCCATCTGCCAGGCTTAATTTACTGACTTCCCATGGGTTTTGGTCTTTGGGCTCTCGTTTCTGTTATCCTGGTCCATAGTGGAGCCAAACTGGCTTTTACATATATCATAGATCAGAGATACTCATTCGTAGCTGTCAGCATCATAAAGTTTTTACAGTGCTGTCCTCAGAGTTGTGTCTGTACAGTGGCTTCTCCATGGAATGTGGAGCTTCTCCACCCTTGCCTATAAACTGCAAATTTACGCTGGGAGCAGGACCTCTCTTTGACCTCTTTTATATTTCTTTATTCTGAAATAGTAGTCTTAAAAAAAATTGTCCTGTAAGGTTAGTAATAACTAATCTGACGTATATCTAGTTTGAAATAAATCATCCCA